TCATCAATAAAACGTGCTTCTTCTGCATTTAAATCACGTTTACCAAAGAGATTTGACAAGTTAATACCATTAACACCAATACCGGCAAGAGCTTGAGCAGCCATCAGAGAAAGTCCTAAAAGAATTTTTTTTTTGTTCATTAAAATCTTGATAATAATTGATTTTAATTTACCTTGAATAGCATTTTGAAGAGGTGGTTTTACTGCATTGTTCCATAAATCATCAATGAAATCTCGAAGTTCAACATTAGATAAATGAATTGTGCGACCACCAGGAGCAGGAATACCTGTTTGAGCAATACCAGCTAAAACTTGTGCACTTAATAGAGCCATATCTTTAATAAAAATATAAAGTTGCTTTATTTTTTTCTTGGAATTTAATTAATAAATCTAGAGTAATACAAACTTTGGACAATATGATTAAGTGGTGGATAGACAACTTGAGCATAAAAATCGGTGAGGATGCTGAAAAGACGGGGTTCTGTTTCAATCGAACGTTTTTTAGCATCAGATAGATGATAAGCATAACTTGATGCAACAAGACCAACAACAAGTAGAACAATCAATTGGGAACGCATCTTTGCTAAACAATATATTTTAATATAGAAATAAGATTTAAAAAAAAAACGAATAATATTAATAAATTGTATTTATCTTACCCTTTCGTTAAGTGATTGACTGAAAGAATTAAATTATTTTAGTTTAATTCATCTCTTTTTATATATGTCTTTTATCAGATAAAAATTGGACTATGTGGGCTGTCAGTTGCTTTTTTTTCTCATGCTAGAATACATTTTCACAGACATCCGGTGCTTGTTTCCATAACTCTTTGCCTACACAATATTTTTTATTTTAATCAAATAATATATTTCAATTGGTTTTTTTTTGAAAGCATCTCATTTATCTAGAATCCCTTTTTTTTTTGTCTTTTTTATCTTTATTTACTAATAAATCTATTATAAAAAAATCAATAGTATACAACCTCGATTAAATTTATTTTTGCTTTTCAACAAAATACTATAAGTAAAATACTAACGTCATTAATGCATATTTAGACAAGTTTTACTTAGTTTTATTTGATGTTTATATGCATTTTAAATGAATTTTACTTCGATCGTTAGTAAAAAAACCAAATCGTCTTCTATTATTTGATAATGATAAAATCTTTAAAGAATATTTAAAATATTCAATTTTATCAATAAGACAAGAGCATAAATTGACTAAAAAATAATCTTTAAATATAAAAGACATATGATTTTATATGAAAAAAAAACTGAATATTTAATTAATATAAAAAAGAAAAATAAATAAAATAATATTGTTGATTTAATCAGGATAATAATTAAGTACTTTTGATCGTTCTCGTTGACAATCTAAACAACGACAATCAGGTAAAGTAGATGAATTATTTTTATCATAAAATCGTCTATTTATTCTTCCTGTTGTTATATTATAACGATCAGTATGAACTTCTTTTTGATATATATGTGGATAACCATCATCATCAATTATAGATCTTTGATTAGAAAAATCTATTGGAGATACTCCACGAGTTTTTGTTGAAGGTTGATCAGTTTGAGAACTACGTGCTTTTCTTTCTATCAAAGGTATTGGAAGTTGAGATTGATCTGATATATAATAAGGAACATCTGATTGACGATCATTTTGAGAATAGAAATAACCTGTTCCTTGTTGTTGTTGTTGTTGAGCTGGTTGTGATCCTGATGATGGTGGATATGGATATACATGATATTGTATTACTGGTGGTAGAGCATTTATTCCTGCTGATTTCGGAGTAAAATGATATACTTCAAGACGACTTAAATCAGCATCTTTTTTATGTGAACTAATTATATCAGAATTTGATCGCATTTGTGTATATTGACCAGGATTTTCATAAGGAAGATTAGTTGACGATGGAAGAACATATGGTTGTGAGTTAGGATAATATGTACCCGATCCATATGGATCTACTGGTAATTGAGTTGGTTGAGAATAAGGAATATATTCATTTTGAATTGGTTGGGAATTATCCGGTGGTTGTAGAAAAGGTTCTCTTTCTCTCATTTCAAGAAGATAAGTGTCATAAGCACCATCATAACGTGGATAATAATATTGTGGTATACGTGTGAGAGAAGGATTTCTTTGATCATTTATCGGAGGAAGAGAAGGAGGAAGATTAGAATTGACTGGAGGAGGTGGCATCATCATTGCACGATAAGGTGATGATGGATCATACGATTTTAAATAACCACCATTCTCTAAACCTAATCGATTAGGATTTGGTTGCATTTTTTTACCGGTAAAATAAATCTTTTCGTTTGACTTTGTTTTTTTCTTCACTCTCACTCAAAATAAGAAAAAAAACTCGATTTAATCATGTGAAAATGCGTTATTTTTTTTTTAATGGTTAAATAAGAGAATCGCAACAGTAATAATAAGAATAACAACGTTTTCATTTACATAACCTACAGAAATCTTATTCATTCTTCGTTGGTTTATTTTCGTTACTAACAACAATTTCGATTGAATTAATTGACAACTTTGTTTATATCAAAAAGTATTTATAGTATATAGATTTATATTATTTTATATATATATGAGATATAAATCGAGAAATATTTATTAAAATATTATTATCTATTCTGTAATTGATACCATTTTGGAGTAACATAGTGATAATCAATTTGTCTATGTGATTTTGGTCCATGAACAGAATTAATTGGCATATACCACCAACGAGGATCATATGTTTCTCCATATCGATCATAACGATAAAGATTATTATTCAATGATTGATCTTTATTATTGATAGAATGATAATTATCATATTTTCTATATTCATATCTATTATATTTATCATAATGATGATAAATATGTGGAATATGAAGATATTCTTCATCATCTTTTTGTGTTGTTTCAATTATTTTTTTTGGTTTTGTATGATGTTGATGAGGAGAATTTGAATATTTAATTTGATTCTCTACTGATTTATCGATGTCAACTATTTATATAATAAATAATAGTCTAATGAAATAATAAAATAAAATAAAATAACGTTACCAACACCTGTTGGTATTAAAGGTTGATTAGTTGGTGTTTGATTATCGAATGTATGAGTGGATATTTGAGCGAATTTTCCATCAATATGAGAAAATAATCGATTTTTATTTTGTTCATCTGTATTTTTATGTTTGTTTATTGGAGTATGATGAGCTTTTTTCTTTGACATTTTATATTAAGATTAGAAAGTGAAATGAATGTCTCATGTTTATTTTCCCTCTATTCTTTTCATTTATGTACACAATATGAAAGAATAAATAATAACTTGATTAAAAATAAAAAAATAACATCAGATTTGTTTTACTTGTAGAATTCTTGTTCGTTTTTTTTTTCATCATAAATTTCGAAATACGTTAACAGCATCCACAAAAATTCCTGTTTTTCATTTGTCGACATTTAAAGGTTCTCTAATCGAATGACATAGAAACAAAAATTTTTCATGTTTTTTTCGATCCTTAAAAAAAAGGCAATTTTCGATGATCATCTATACAAAAAAGTCAGATTCTACAGGTCCACTGTGTTGTGTGGGTCATCAATGCATCCTTCTACCCATTTTAAGTAGTTTAGCATGTTTATTAAAATGAACTTTTTTAGAGAAAAATTCAAGTTTTTCTTCGAAACACTTCGATCAATGAAGTTGAAATTTTTTGTGTGACAACTAGGACCAAATGGGGGTGTATATATGTTTTTTTGTTTCTTAAAATAATCTTCTGCTGATTTTTAACAGATCTTAGAAAATTTTCCCTAGAGAAAAAAAAACATGTATTTTGACAGAACTTCCGCTATTTCAGTTTTCTTAAGGAAAGGAAACAATATTTTACAGTTTGCGAGAGAGACAAGTTCAGGTTATTATTGGCTGATGCCCCCCCCAATATCTCATAGAAGGAAGCATCTGGGAATTTCGAGTCTATGACAAGATTGATTCTATTAGTCGAGTTGTATCTATCCTGAAAGATTCATAATTTTTGGTCGAGTCATCGTTGAGAAATCTGATAGAGGAAGCAGATTTTGTTAAATGAAAAGAAATTTATTTATTTGTTGAACAATGTTGATAACATAAACAACATTTAAGAAGCATAGCAGCAATATCATCGTCAAAATATTCTCGAATTTTATGATAAAAATCTAAACATTTTTCAACATCTTTTCTGGCATTTTGATATTTTTTCCCCGGATATTCAATTGGATAATGTAATGATGATTGATTCTCTCGTTTTTTTGCTATACTATTTGATTGAAGAGTTTTTCTATAAAAATTTTCATTTGAATCAAATGAATCTTCTGATAAATCTGAATCTAATAGAATTGAAATAAAATAAATATTTGTTTGTTTTTTTCTATATTATTTATAAATATGATTATTTACCTGATGATATGCTTTTATTATCATCTTCGATATCGATTGAAGATTTTTTCGATTTATTTTCAATATCTGTCGATGGAATAAATTTATCTATTAATATATAAAATAATAAATCTATGTTTAATATCTAATAGATAAATGATTACTTGATTTTTTATCATTATTTTCTTTACTATTTAATAAATCAATAGATAGTTTACCAGTTTTTATTTTATTTTTCTCATGAATTTTCGAAGGTTCTAAAAATAAAAATAAATTATTCTTATTTATCTAGGAAATATTTCTATTAAGATAAAAGAAAAATTTACTTTTGTTATTTTTGTTTTGTTTTTTGTGAATATTATTTGGTAAATGAATAAATGATTGTGATGAACTTGGTGATAAAATAAAATGTTGAGATGTTTTATTTATTCTAGTTTTATATGATGATAAACTATGATTATCATCTTTATATGATTTCATTGAAATATAATCATTCACTTTTTTAGATTTATCTTTATTCATATTATTTTCTTTTGCTTTATCAGATCGATTTACATAATTCAAGTCATTTTTATCAAAACAATCCATCGCTTCTTTCTAATAAAAAACAATATTTTATCTTCAATGTTACAGAATAAGATTTTTCGAATTCTATTATCAAATTTGATTTATCTATTTGATTAAAAGACAGCTGACTGCATAAAGCGGAGTAGCTGATTTGATAATTTCACCATGATAACATTTATCTTCTCAATGCATTAGGAACAACTAAAGTTAACTATTTGTTCTTCACATCTAATCATCATTTCGAAATAAGAATAAATCGAACAAATAGCTGTCAGTTTCCTGAAAGTCTAACATATTGAAATAGGATATATCGTACAGAATCAGATTCTGTTATTTTTCAGGTTGATAGAGTCACTCACTTTTTCTACTCTGGATTTGTTCGAGTGTCAGTCTAGTTAGTTTTTATATTCTTTATTTAAATATTAAGATCATTTTTAGGAATAAATATTGAAAGTATATAACATGTTTTTATATAAGGATTAAACTAATTTAGTATATTCGCTTTTTTTTCTATATTGTTCCGAATGCTGTTTGTCCTACTGGACGAGACAAACAGGATTTTAGTATTAACAATAATAGAAAAAAAAAAGGTGTTTACTATAATATCTGAACTAAGCCATCGAATAATATCATTTGGTGTTAACCATGGAGTTTTAGACATTATTTGTCGAATTAATGATGGAAGACAACAACATAATAGAGCTATTTCTTCTTCACCTATTTTATAACGTATATTATTAATAATTTCATCTGTAATCATTTTTATACAATTTTCCGATGGAATAGATAAATATTGAACATGGCCTGTTTCTCTATTTAATATTGGTTGCATTGGAGCTCGATTTCCATCAATAGAACTTGAATGACAGACATAATCACAACCTGATTTCGTCGGAGAAATACCAGAAAGAGTATTCGAACAAGTTGGTTCTTTGCAACATAGGAGTGGTACTCGAATATTCTCGATACCATATGATGAACAAATTGGATTTGTTGAAGTAGTATAACAAGGTTTATATTTATCAGACGAACATTCTCTACAAGTATTATGTTAGAAAAATGATTAAAAATAAAAATCATTTTTATAAACTCATCTTTTATCTTGGTTAAGAATAAAAATATTTACAAATATCAACATACTCTTGTGAAAAAGTGGCAAATCCGCTAATAGGATAATGACAAGTTTGTTCAATGCGACAACGTTCTCGAAGAATTGATCGACAATTTTCACCAATTGAATTTATTGGTATTGATGATGATGCGTTATTCATCAGATTTCATTAATTTTACTTTTTTATTATAAACATTTTTTTTCTTTATATTATCAAATAAAGTAAAACTATTTATCATCTATAGCTTCTATCAAACACAGATTCAAATTAAATTAATATTCCCACATATTCATCATAACCAAAACAAAAATATATTCACAATTAGTTTTTGTTGGCGCATTTTCTTTCAATGAACTTTTTATTATTCTAAATCTACTTAACATTTTATTTAATATATCAATCGAAAGAAGAAAAAAAACGATTTATTCAATTTATTAGCAACACTATTTAATTAAACCAATCTAATAAACATACCTTTTGTTATTAAATTCTTTCGTCATTCTTATTATGCGTTTGCTGCACTTCTGTGGATAATATAGATTGAGTTTGAAATTCATAGATTGTAATTAAATGCTTTATAAACTATTGAACATCTATTAACAAGTTCTTTGCAGTTCAACGAATCGGAACTGTACTTTTAGTGCAATGTGTATTCAAAAAGAAATTTTTTTTTTACTAGCAGATTTACACTATTCTGAATAATATGTTTATACTAGAGAAAACCGTGCATACTGCATGATTATTTGTTTTCATCACTGAAACCAACCTTTTTCTGACGGTGAGAAAATTTTCAAAGATATTGTTAGAGTCATTACCTTCACAGTTTCTACACAAGTTATTTCTGTGGGTAGGTGCATATGCACGGTTCTACCTTTGAACTAAGAATGTTAGATCTATGTGTACTGTGGACGTTACTTCATGATCTACAATACAATCGCAATCTCATCCACTCACACATCAAATCATAAGCACATTCACTCGAGCTCAACAATACTCCTTCACTCCATACCATACTCCCCTCACCTACACATTATACCTATACCCAACACCTTTACTCCACACCTCACATCAGTCCTCACTCACTTACTCTCACTCCACCACCCTCTACACCAGTTCTTACCCTTCCCACTCTCGCTCTTCCGCACCTTACACCAGCTCTCATCCAACCACTCTCACTCCACTACCTCCTGACTTTTAAGCTGGTCACAGAGAGACACACACACTGAACATTAATATATATAGATAATGATCAGAATGTTTTTATGATGCAATAGACATTCTGAAAAAACGTTTCTAAAGGTATATCGTAATTTTTGTTTCAATCAATATTATTTAGCCAACAAAGTAAAATATATTGAATAGAAGTATCAACGAATAAATTGTATGTATATTTATTGTGTTCTGTGAATGTAGTGATTTTCTCCCTAGTGAAACATTTTGTAATCAAGATCTTGGCCAAGATATAAGGTGCAGAGCTATAAGTAGATTTTGAAAGTTTGGGTAGAAGATAATCTAATTATCTTGAGCCAAGATCTCTGTAATAAGATCTTGTGTATGAATTCATCTGATTCGATTATCATAAAAGAACGTGTATTCTTAAAATCTTGTGGAAGATCTTGATTTAATAATATTTTTAAAAATTATTTTATAACTTCTTGGAATTAGATTTGCCGAATTACTTAAAAAAATCCAATCTTCATTGAAAAATATTCATGAAACCAACAATTTAGAAATTTTTTTCAATTGATCATTGACTACTAAATTGACTTGTTGTGTTTACAGAATAAATCTGACTTCAAAATCAGTTTCAAACACCAAATTTGAGATAAGATAGGCTATTTCAGAAGTATTTCGATGCATTCATAAATGAATTTTAGTGATAATTTCGAATCATAGATATTTTAGGCAAGATGTTATAAATCTCTACCTAAGATCTAGTTACAGATCTTGCTACATACTCATTTTTCTATATCTTGTATCTTGGCCAAGATCTTGCTTAAAAGATGTCGCACTAGGGCTTGTAACGTTAAAAGTGCAATCGAAAGTGAGGGATATAATGATCACTCGATAACTACTTAGCACATGTAAACGCGAATACTAATAACTAAAGGCGAATTCGAAAAATTGAAGAAGATTTTTTTCAGTCAATATAGTGTGGATATATGAGATTGATTTGATTTTAATAATAAATAAATAAATAAATAGTCATGAAAGAGAAAACTAATGTTCTTGCATGGAGCAGCATGCACATTATAAAATGGCATAAACTGACATGTCAACGCAGAATAGATTTGATAAGAATTTTCGTACATATGATATTTTTGTATTGAGATGGAAAGTTTATAAAAATTCTAGTCATCTTCTAGGTACACGCCAATAAGACATTGGAATTTCCATGTAACTCCTATATCTTGTGTAGATACGCAAGAGTATTGCATGAAACTATTTCCAAGCATAAAACCATGCATCTATTTGTGATATGCACGTCTATGCATCTGCTATTATCTTGTATTTATGCTCAACAGTTACAAATATTTGGAATAAATTGTATCTTCATGTATAAGATATGATGACTTGCAAAAATGATTTAGAAGTAAACGCGGGTTTCTGAAAGTTTCCTGCAACTGCATGTGTTCTTAAAGGTTTCGCGTTCGATTGAGATGGTAATCAGAGATGAATAATGTCTATAATAAATCTGATGTATCTTCTATTTTAATAAGATATATAATATTTTTTAAAATTCAATATAACCCCAAGATTAAACACCCTATAAATATATTGAGGTAGATAATGTATATAATATAACTTATGTTCTTGAAAGAGAAGATGTTGTTAGAATAAGATTGAGGATGTGTGGTTGAGAATCCAATGATTATTATGAACGTGTTTCGTTAGTTTTCTTATTCAGTTGTAACATGTTTCCCACATGATGTTCTAAGACGCGACTTGTTTTTTTTTTAGGTTCGCTAAATTCTCGTGGTTTGACGATAAGAGGGAGATTCTTTTTCCAAAATTTAGTTTGAAATGAAAGAGACTATAGATTGAAACCATGAAAAAACTATCAGTTTCGAAATCAACCAATAAGATGAAAGTTTATATTTTCCTGTTTACAATCTTCTATCGTAGCGCTACAAAATCAGATAAAAACCATAAAATAAGACAAAATTTGTTAGTAAAATGAGTTTTCTTCTAGATTCCAGAAGCATGTAGAGAACTTTTTCAGTCAAATATGTTCTTAAAACTTTTTAGCTTTCGGTAGGTATTTTGAAGGAAATATGTTTTTGAGAGGTTTGTAATAGACACTTTCTTCTTTCTAACAAGAAAATTATCAAATATTCACATCGAATTGTTGTCATGCTATACTGAAAAGAAAATTAATGCAGAACTTTTGCACCATTCACTAGCTTAATTCTATAAAATCTAGTCAAAATACAGAACTGTCAAATTTCCAGTTTACAGTTGAAAACAGTCTTTTTTTTAACCTTGAAATCACTCGAAGAATGTGGACAAATTGTTCGTCGAAAAATATGAAAATTGTCTATCAAAGAAATTCGTGACGTAGAAGACATGAAGAAAATGAAAATATAAAATAATAAATAATAAATATTGCAAATATTAGCATTGAGAACGATAAAATAATGATGAAAAAATGTTTCATGTGAATGTAGAATTAGTTATATTCAGTCGGTCATTGTTGGTCGATATGTTGGTACAATGAACACCAATATGAACTGTTATAGAAGGTCTATATGAAAAGCGTTTTATAATTTTCTAGCTAATGTATTTTTCTTCTCAAGTGTTCGAGTAACTAAACTATGAAATGTTTAAGACAAAAATTTGAATAAAAATGAAATAGATCATTTTATATAAATTAGATAAACAATTAATTATAATACTAATTCTATGTTTACTTTTCATACTTTTTAAAATGAATTTCAATTGAAAATATTGCATAGTTTCATATGTCTTCACTTTCAATTATTTCGAATAAGTTTTATAACTTTAAAAATCTTTTCGTTTTCGCCAAAGAAATTTACATTTCTTCTATCTATAAAATCACCATAATTATAACAAATTAGAATTTGGACTCTTTTTTTTTTTAAATTTCATAGACTAACAATAAAAATAAGTAAATAAATATCCAAACAAACATAATATATGTCGGAAAATAAATGATAACTCGAATATTCTTCCAATATTTGCATCTGTTCTTGTCATTTTGAAAAAAAATCTTTTTTATTAACTTTTTATTTCCTAGAAAAGTCTGCATTTATATTAAACCAACCGGCTATTCGATAGGAATTTCGACGCATAGTTTTCAACTTCTAATTGACATCGAAATTTTCTATCGAGTCATCGAATTCCCACTTTCCGATAGGTCGAAAGCTCTGCGTTAGGTCATTTTGACGGTCAGTTTTCGATGAAATCGAAATTTGATCAATATAAGAAAGACTTTATCCGATAGATCCTTCAATATCGACTCGTCGAAACCTATTAAATATACGTGCAGGAAGAAATTCCAACATGAATGGGGACTATTTAGTTTCATCAAACATCTTAACTAAAAATATGAAGTTTTATTTATCTCTAAAAGTCATCTTTTCAATTCATAAAAAAACAGAAGAATTTGACGATTATATTTGTTTTTTTAACACATTCTATTATTTAATAAAAAAAACAAACTTTTCTACGTTTCTAGATAAAGAAAAAAACAATGTTTGAATTTGAGATCAGATATAAAGAGTTTATTCGATAAATATGAGATTTGATGATAAAATGATTTGTATGATTAAGTATTAAATCAATATTTAGAAGTTTTTTCAAAGGTTCTCTTATATAGAATATATATTAATAACATATACCTCGATTCTCTTTCTTTGATATCTTCTATATGATTATTTCGTTTCTATTATTTATCTTCTTTTGATCTTGATTAACCTATATATTCTTTTCTATTTTTCTCATTGTTTTCAAATTCGTATAAATACACTCATCTTTCAAACAATAAACGGAGAGAGATGATAAATATGCGCATCTTTAATTGTGTTTCGTTACTCCTTGTGAATATCAATCCTAACAGATTTAAAATGCAAAAATTCATTTATTATTGTATCTTCATCCATAATGTTGAAAGATTTTAGTTTTCATCAATTGATATTAAATATTGTTTAGAAAATTATGAAATCTATGTCGAACATAAACAATTCTGCTAAGATCGTTAAATAAAAGTAAAAGACATTTCAAAATCGGTTTTTGGAGAAAATTTGATCTTAATAAAAATTAGATTGATTAGATGAAAATGATATTGTGCTAGGTTTGCTACTTTTGAAGCACTAAAAACGATGAATATTCTTTCAATAGTTTCCTTCTCACCGAGTACCCGAAACCTTGGTTAGTGTCAACATGTCGAGAAGCGCTCGACAAGTGAAAAATGAGTAATTGATAAGATGCACTACTTTTCAAGTGCTTTACATAAAATAGTTGTCGAGGGGCTCGATATTCAAACAGAACGAACAAAAAAAATTATATATATGTCAAATCTGCAACTACTCGTTGTGCCCAACGTATGGTTATCAAAGTCTGTTTGTTGGTCATTTTTATATATAGAACACAACCGAATACATTTAAATAGACAAATTTTCAATTTTGTTTTTTTTTTAATGAATTTTTAGTATCATACTTTGCTATTATTTGAGTGATACTATTTTTATGTTAATCTATATCCATTGGGTAAACAAATAACGCTCGTCGGTCTGACTCGGTTAATCCTCGATTGAATTGTGAAGAGTACATTTATATATTACTTAACCCTATTGAGACTATTTTTGAGAATATCAAATATCTACATGTAGATCTGATATTATGGTTCAAAGGTCATTTATAATAGTATACTCACCTTATAGCTATAGTGATTTTTACAAATAAAGACCCCGTTGTTATCGATTTATTCGTGAAACAAGATTGTTTATTAGTTAACCTCGTTAAATAATTTCCGGTGTATCAAAGAGTTAAAAAGTGTCTTAAATTGCTTTTCTCTTTATAAAAATCTAGATACATATTCGAATAAGGTCATTCCATGAGACCTATATTTGCATTTGGTCTTGAGTCTGATACACTTAGATTCAGTACTTTTCGACAAAAACACCACACCAAAAATAAAAATTCTGAAAATTAATCACGGATTTCGACTCCCTGCCCCTAGATCAAACTTTATAAAAAATGATTTTTTTTCTTAAAAAGAACCTTTCTTTGCCTAAAAAAAAGTGAAACTCAATATTTCGAAAAACTGATTGAAGATTTGGTTTCTCTGACCCCGATTACCTTTGGTTAAACTTTATAAGAAAATTCCTATAGATGGACTGTACACGTGACTGCAAACAAACATATAAATAAACTCATTTTATTTCATATGACCTTCTCTACAATCGAGGGAATCAATACCTTTCATTAAAAATAAATTGAGTATATTAATAATAGATTGATTGTTTGAAGACTAAGAATTCTTATCAAGACAAGCAAAAAAAAGTATTATGATACCATCATTGAATGACATACTCATTTTTAACTTTGTGCAGTGTGCAGATTGAAGGGTCGGCGCTTCTCCGAGTAATTGGTTGCCTCTCCTGAATTTTATGGTTATCGTATCATATCCTATGTACTTATGCTTCGAAAACTAGGCAATCTCCCCGACGGAAGAGAAAATCTAGGTAAAATAGAGACTTGGTAACATATTAATAAAATATTGATTTTTTCAAGCGAACTATATTTGGTTTAGATCTTTATTAAATCACAGAAACATGTCGATAGATGAGGACACTTTGCTGAGAACAATATGTTTTGAAATGTATCAAAGGCAGTATTAGTTTATCTGTGGACCTTTTCTTTTGAATTGGTTGAAAAGAGCGATCAACTTGAACAGTTATCTTCGTTCGTTTAAAAATCGATTAGTAAATAAAAACTAAGATTACTAAAATAATAATAAAATTTGATATAAAAAGAATAAATTGAAAAAAAATATTTATTTTGAAATAATGATTGGTGGTCTATAAAAAGAAATAAACATTAATTATACATTGATTAATAGAAATTGAGACTTTTATAGAGAATTAAAATCGGAATTATTAAACAACAAAGTTTTTTTAAAAATGACAAAAAAAGAACCAGGTTAAAATATATGAAAAAATGTCGAAATATGAATTTACTATATAACACACATTTTACATACCGATGGATAAAATTTTTGAGCAAAAAAGAAAAAAAAAAAAAGAAAAAAATCCATAATTGGACAAGTTGAGAGCAAAGTCTATTATTAAAATAGTTTATCGACAATTGATTAATCTTTTAAGACAATCATCATATGATAATCGTAATGTAGATGATTTTCTATAATTATCATTT